TGCTCCATAAATGGAATTGCCCATAATATCATCTTCATTTTAGGTGCCTCTCTAGGTAAATACCAAGCAGGATTTCTTATATAAAAGTTAATCTATTTATACGTATTCTAGTCATTGCCGAAGTGAGACTCTAAACTACAATATAGTTCTGGAGCAGATGATCTCAGTTTTGCTATTGTTATATTGTTCTTATGTCTGCCCATAAGAATAAATATTTATTGAGCAACTACTATATATGTGTCAGGTATTGTTCTAAGTAGTAGTGATATATAGTGACAAAAAGGAAAACTCTTGCTGTCATGATTAATGTATTCTGGTGGAGGAGACAAACAGTAATCAAACTAGCCAACTGACTACTTCTTACTCTGCGTGGTGAGAGAGAGAGAGTGTGTGTGTGATTAGGTACTATTTGAGACACAGTAGTTGAGTCACCTGTTCTTTTAAGCAGACCCCTGAGGTAAGCAAAGGACTAAGCCATTTAGGTATCTCAGGAAAAGGAGTTTCAAAACAGAACAAATATATCACTTGAATAAGTGCTTAAGGATTAGTTAGTTAAATGTTTTTAGTAAGTGTAAAGACAATAAAAAGATCTTGCAGAAACTTTGTTTTTAACTTAGTACCTGTTAATCTAAAGCAATAAAAATTTTTTTCTACCTATGTTTTTCTACATTTATTCATATATGCACATACATAAGTTATTGTGTGCTTAAAATTCTTTTTGATACTTAAGCATTTCTCCATGTTGTTTCATAATTTCATGATAGTTTTATAATAATTTTAATAATGTTAATTATTTCATTAAGGATTTGTGTAAATAAACAAAAAATCAAATCTTACATGACTAAAGATTTTCACTGAAGCATTATTATAGTTCCAAATATTGGAAGCAACTTAATGTGTTAACAATAGTATCATATTTAGATTACTTCTGGTGTTTAGTAGTGCTGCAATGAATATAGTTAAACATAATTTTTCCTTCTTTTGAAATATTTGTGTTAATTCTCAAGACTTAGATGTCTACATCTTTTTTTAAAAAAACCTTGATATACATTATCAAGTGACTCTCCCAAAGGATAATAACAGTTAATATTATTACCAGGAATATATGACTATATCGATCACTCCATATATTTTCTAGCATTGAATATATTTATTTAACACTGTTTTTACTGCTTAGTTAAAGTTAGAAATTTAGCTACTAATTAGCAAAAATTACAACTTCATCATTTTCTTTTGAGTTTCCTGACTTACTCACATGTTCAACATATTATTCTTAAAAGTATTTATTTGGGGGCTAGTTTTTGATTTGTGAGGTACACTTGTTTTAAAAGGTTTTGAAAAACGATCACCATGAGTGTCTCATTCTCAATGTAGCTCCATTGTCTGGACATAGGACCAGTAAGACTCAAGCCAAGAACGTTCTAATATGTGTCTAACAGTGAAAATTTCATGTATTAAAGAGAAGTCCTTATACCTCAAAAAAATGCTTTAAAATGTTTTTATTACAGTACATTCTAAACACAAAAGTGCCTTCTTACTAGCTTCAGTAAGTATAAGTGTTTTGCCAAGCAGATTCTTCTATTAACCTTCACCCATCCATCCACATTTTTTCTTGCTGGAATATTAAAAAGCAAGTTTAGAAGTCATGTAATCTCATCATTAAATGCTTCAGCATGCATCACTTTTAGCTGAGAAGGTCTTTTTTAAAAGCTACCTTTATGCTTAACAAAATTAACAATTCCTTGTCATTTGCAACTTCTATTCAAATTTCTAAGAAATTGTCACAGACTTGGTTTGCTTGAATCAGGATCTCAGCAAGGTCTATGCATTGCATTTGGCAGTTTTGTCTCTGAAATGTTGAAAATTTTATTATCAGTCCTCTCTTTGCTGCTTTTTTATACCGTTGATTAGTTATGAAGCCTGAACATATATCCCATAAAATGTCCCATATTCTTGATTTGACTGGCTGCTTCCTCATGACACTGTGTAACTTACTTGCTCTACTCCTGCCCCATCTCCCATATTTTCCTTAAACTATTCATTTAGACCTAGAGATTACTAGACTTAGGTTCAGTTTTGGGGGATTTGGATGGCAAGAATAGGTTTCAGGTGGTGGGTGCAGTATACATCTTGTAGAATCACATCAAGAGGTATATAATGACTGGTTGACCACTTTTATTGATACTAAGGTTGACCACTAGATTTAAATAGTGTCATTCTGATCTCTCTAATTTAAAGTTTCTCATTGGTGACTATTGCCTAAATCCAATGGACTTGGTGGTAAAATGCTGAATTTTCTGTTATTCCTTCTATATTTATTAGCTGGGTTCTACAACAACTTTCTAGCATCAATTGTTGGGTTATCTTGAAATATATCTCATACACAGGCTTTTTCCTATATATCTTCTGTATGAGCTTTCCTTATACAGGAAAGGTGAGATAAGCGTTTGACACTCTCTGTTAATAAGAGTAATTGTAAGAGTAATTATAAGGGTAATGAATGTGTTCGTTAACAACACCCAATGGAGACTAATAAGTTTTTATTTAAAAGAAATCATTGTGAACTTATGGAGTTATATATATGCTTGATATAATTTGATCTATCGCAGTAGTATTTTTTTAATGCTCGAATTGTTTTATATGAGGTCAGAGGTAGCCCCTTCAATTTGGTTACTGTATCTTTCTGACATGATCCCAATAATCCTCCTATTTCCTTGGCACAGCAAGATATATCAGGCCTGTCTTCTCAACCCTGCCATATACTTAGAATCATCGATTTCTCCAAAAAGATTGCTTCAGTGAGGGTATTTAAAAATTAAGGGTGTTCATTATTTCTAGGATGTCATTTCTTCTAGGTTTTTCAGTGGACAGAGCTTCAGATCCACTTTTTAAGGTTTTTAAGTTTAGAGAGACAGCATCTCATGCTGTTGCCCAGGCTGGAGTGCAGGGGTGCTATCATAGCTTGCTACACAGCCTTGAACTCCTGGACTCAAGCAATTCTTCCAAGTCAGCCATCCAAGTTGCTGGGACTACAGATGTGTATCACCAGGCCTGACTAATTAAAAAAAATTTTTTTGTAGAGAATGGGTCTCACTATGTTGCCCAGGGCTGGTCTCAAACTCCAGGCCTCAACCAATCCTCCCGCCTTAGTCTCCCAAAGTGCTGGGATTACAGGCAGGAGCCACTGCACCTACACAGAATCTATTTTTTGTTTTGTCTTTGTTTTTTTTAAAGAAAAATAAGTCATGAGTCCTTACTGATCTATTTGATATAGTGTAAGAATACAGTTTTTTATTTGATTTGATTACTTGCATCTTTTTTAATGCTGGAAATCTTGCTTTCCAAAAGGATTAATATAATTATTTGTTTTATTATACAATCTACCTATAATAATTTCAAGAAAAATACCTAAGTATTGTAAATGACTCGATTATTTTTATTATGTGTATATATACATATATATGGTATTATATTGTATTATTTTATTGTATATCTTTAAGGTACACAACATGATCATTTTGATATATACAATGAAGTATTTACTGCAGTTAGGCAAATTAACATATCCACCTTCTATCATAATAATCATTTTCATGTGTATGTGGTAAGAGCATCAGAATCTACTCTCAGCAAATTTCCAGTATATATGAAAACAGTTTAAGATTTCTTTGTAGTTCTTTTTGTCTTTAGAATAGGACTGTACACTCTAAACACTTTAAAGTAACTTGAATGAATTATTTATTTTATTGCTTATGTCATGAGTTTGATATACAGTTAATTTGCTTCAACTTGATTCAATTTTTGGGGGATTCATGTTTTCCTATTTTAATGTTTTCACTTTTTAATTTTATAAAACAATAATTGAAACCATACATATACTTAGGAGCTCTTCATATTAGCTATATTTTTCTGGAATATAATCAGCAAATATTTTCTTCAGATTGTCTTTTGGCTTTGCTTATGATGCTTTTTTGACACATGTAAGTCATTCAGATATATTTTTATGTAGTTAACTTATTAATATTTAATTTGCTTTTGGAATTTAAGCCTTATTTATGACAGTTTTCCTATTTCCAGATTAAAGAGGAATACATCATTAATGATGAGATATGAAATGAAATGCACACATTAAAAAAAAAAAAAACCCTAAGTGTCATTAGCCTTTAGGGAAATACACATCAAAACTACCCTCAGATAACATTGTACAAACAGATAAATCCATCTGACTGATTAAAAAGGGAATATCTGGAGATACCAAGTGATGTAAAGACTGGGGAGGAACTGAGATTTTCATCACTGCTGGTAAACAATAAAAATAATATACCCACACGCAAAAAAATAAAGAGGAATGCATCTACTTTTAATTCATATATATGGTATGAGTCATTGTGTTTAGATCTTGCATCCATTTGGAAATTATTATTTAGTAGTATTTTCTTTTAAAATATTTGACACTTTTTTTCCCAGATGCTGTTTTAGATATTGGAGGTGTACTGGTGACAAGATCAACAATATGTAGTTTCTCTTAGAGCTAATGTTCCAGGACAGGGAGACAGACCACAAAGATAATTTCAGATAATGGCAAATGCTATAAAGACAGTGAAAAAAGATGATGTAACAAGGAGGGATTGAAGAGATGTCTCTCTGATAAGATGATAATTTAAGTGATTCCTGCATCACATGAAGAGGCCAAGTATATCAAGCCCTGGAACAGAACTGTCCAAGCCAAGGGAATACTTAGTACAAAGGCACTGAGGAGGAATAGCCCTAACACTTATTAAATACTTACTATGAACCAGACACAATGCCAAAACACTTCGCCAGCTTTATCTCATTTGTTTCTTACAACTACCCTTTGAATTATGTATCAATAATCATCCTATTTTGAATATAAGAACACTGAGGTTGAAAGGGGTTAGATCAAGGGCCTTCTCTCAGTCTCCAGTGTAGCCTTCAGGGGTCAACCTGCGACAGTGAATTCCTGATTTTTATCTCTCCAGGCTTTCATGAGAAGGACAAGAAGCCATATTGCCGAAAGGATTTCTTAGCCCTGTTTTCACCCAAGTGTGGTGGCTGCAATCGCCCAGTGTTGGAAAACTACCTTTCAGCCATGGACACCGTCTGGCACCCAGAGTGCTTTGTTTGTGGGGTCTGTATAATCACTTTTCTTTTGGACTTAGGGAAACTCAAGGGTTCTTCTCTCTGAGAGGAAGAGCTGCAATTAGTAAAAGGGTTCACAGTCCTGAATGAGGAATGGATGTGGGCATCCTAAAGAAGAAATGAGATACAAATCCATTGTGGGCATTTGCTTGTCTGTTTTGCAAGCAGGCAGTCTAGCTTCCATTTGTCAAGAAGCTGAGTGAAATTCCTGTAGCTGGCAGGTAATTGGCAGGAATTTCAAGGCTGAAGATTTTACTTTTCTGACATTTTACCTCTTGACATCTGCATTCTTTGTCTCTCTCTTCTCTGCACCCCTAGGACTGCTTCAGCAGTTTTTCTACTGGCTCTTTCTTTGAACTGGATGGACGTCCATTCTGTGAGCTCCATTACCATCACCGCCGGGGAACTCTCTGCCACGGATGTGGGCAGCCCATCACTGGCCGTTGCATCAGTGCCATGGGGCACAAGTTCCATCCTGAGCACTTTGTGTGTGCTTTCTGCCTGACACAGTTGTCAAAGGGTATTTTCAGGGAGCAGAATGACAAGACCTATTGTCAACCCTGCTTCAATAAGCTCTTCCCACTGTAATGCCAACTGATTGACAGCCTCTTCAGGTTCCTTATAAAATTTAAACCAAGAGAGGGGAGGAAAGGGTAAATTTGCTGTTACTGACCTTCTGCTTAATAGTCTTATAGAAAAAGGAAAGGTGATGAGTAAATAAGAGAACTTCTAGACTTTACATGACTATGCTGCTGATCTTATTTTTTAGGCTATAAATTCTTTTTCTCTCTTTCTTTCTCCAATCAGGTACTTGGAGTTAGATCTAGGTCCTTCTATCTAGTCCCTCTACAGATGTATTTTCCACTTGCATAATTCATTCTAATACTGGTTTTCTTAGGTTTTTCCATTTTTACCTCTACTGATGGCCCTACTGAGCTCTTCTCTAATTTGGTCCTCATACTTGTTACTTTTCAAGATTTCCCATTTCCCTGTGGCTCACTGTCTTACAATCACTGCTGTGGAATCATGATACCAATCCTAGCTCTTTGCATCTTCCTTCAGTGTATTTTTGTTTTTCAAGAGGAAGTAGATTTTAACTTGACAACTTTGAGTACTGACATAATTGATAAATAAAATGACTTGTGGTTTTAATAACTCATTGTCATATTTGTTTGAGAGATAAACTTTCTGTTTCCTATGTTATATAATGGGCACTATGTGCAATTAAAATTATATCATACATCTTGTTTCCTTCCATCCAATGGGCACTTTAAAAATTTTAATCAGAAGAAATGAAAAGGAGGGACTCCTATTCATTAACTTTTTTCTTTAGTTTGGTACCATAACCATTTTATTTTCTGGACTTAGATGATTGAATCCTTTTTTAAAATGGTAAAGCTTCTTAAGATTTTTTTTTCATTATGCTGTTTACAGAAGGAGAAACTCTGGCTCTCCATTAGATATCTATCTTACAAATTCATTTCTAAAGTAAAAATGAAAACACACAGTTTTCCATTTGCTTCCTGAAGACAAATGAGATGGCTGTTCTTAGAGCATCTCTGAAGAAAGATGCTATAAAGCTCAAATAATCATTATCTACAATTAGGAAAGCCAAGCCTCAAAGAAAAATTCCTCTTAAGCATTTGTTCATCTCAAAATATTATAAATAAATGTATAGAAAAGCTTGCCAGATTATCAGAGAATCTGAATTTCTTATGTCCTATGAGTTTACTGTCCTGCAGTTTACATTTTATAAAAGTAAGCTTCACAAGGTCTCATCCTTCTGCAAAAGAGATACTGAGAAGATCAGTACTATATCTTTCTCACCATGCTCTTAAAAATAATTGGGTGATTATTTGTTATAACAAAAACCAGACTCAGAATCCTTGATTCTGAAATAAGTTACTGGTGAAAACTTCTTCACAGGAGGTATTTATTTTTAAAAATAGGGCACAATTTGATGTCTTTAGATTGATAGAGGACTAGAACTACTTGGGAGAGCTGAAATGGATTGAATGTTTCTTGCCAAACTTTATTATATCTATGCCCTTTGCTGGAATGGATAATAAAGGGGTTTTGAGAGTTAAAAAATTGGCAACAGTTAATTCTATAAAATAGGAACTCCAAATGCATGTAAGATATGTGGGAGGCCACACAGATATGGAACCATCTGGCCTCTACTCTGTTTGGCTGTCTGAGAGCGCCAGACTATACAGAACACACATTCAACTTTTAAACATCCTCTTTGCAAAGTCTTCACTCAACGATGTCACATGCAGGTGTTAATATGGAGATGTTCTTGGTTGCCTTGGCAATTTGACAAACTAAATTTGGAGTTTTAGCCCTTAAAAATAAATGTTCAGGTGCTAAAACTTTTTTTTATAAAGAATAGCTATTTTGAGATTTCAATAGAATTTAACTATTTTTAAATGTCAAGGAAACTTCAGAGTTCATTAAGATGCAATTAAGAAGTGAAAACATTTTCTTCCTATATTGAATGGAAGTGGTTTTATTTGCTCAAGAAGAGATACCGACTTCAGGATCAAAGTTTTAGCAATAAGTAAACTATTCACAAGTAAAAAGTTCTGCTTTTTAAAAACCATGGAAATACCATTACTAAAATTGATCACTTACCTATTTTGGTTTTCAGTAACTTAAATTAAAACCCACCCTCCCAGAACAGGGCTTTGCCACCAGTGAATATAGACGTATAAAAAGGAATATGCTCTACAGTTGGCACTCTGTTCTCAAAGATGAGTCTCTCAATTAGTTTGGTCAGTTTTTCTTTGAAGTAAATCTAGTCTATTCCAAGGTGATACTTTCATAAAGACGGCAATTATTTTTCCATCAAAGTTTTATCATGCGCTGCTCTTGGAGTTGCCGGACGGTTGCCAGCCACGTGCTTCTGTTTTAATAACCAGTAGGGGGAGCAAGAGTGCTTTCATCAGGCATTTCCAAGCAAAAGTTGTGGGATTCATCCTCATTGGTCTAGCCTAGGTCACATATTAGTAACTTTTGCTAGGGGAATGAATTCTGCAGCTTGGCTTCAACCAGACTGAATTATTTCCAAATTTAGAAGCAGGACTAAGTTTCCCGAAAGCACAAGGGCTTTGTGGAGGAGATGTGAATACTTTAAAAGCTGGATATGGGTAAGAAAGGGGAATTTGTATGTTGGAAAGTGAAAATATTGGCGTTTCCGAGTTTCAAGGTAATGGAGAAGGTAAGCAAGTTGGCATTGTCAAGATCCTGATGGAGCGTGTCCAAGAACTTTACAGAACCCAAAAGCAGAGGTGGGCCAGGAATGCCGGTGTCCTGAGGAACATACAGCAGAGACGCTGCTCTTCCAGGGCCCCTAGGGTCGCACCACTGAGAAGCATCAAAAGCAGCTTCAGTTTGGCAATCTGAAAAGGGAGATCTTCCGGCTGGAATAAAGGTAAGAAAGAGTAGCAACTTCCTTTAGAGGCGAGTGTTTTAGGCATAAGCGGGCCCTCAATAAGGCAATGGCAGCAGCCACTGAAATATGAACTGAAAAAGAGAGTGCCTGTCCCCCAAATATTGTGGAGGTTGTGTTACTAGATAAAATTTACCATCCGTACAGCACATAAGTGCCGGAAACACAGAGTTCAATGGGGAAATGGAAACCCACTGGGATCCACCGGATAAAAAAGAAATCTCAGGTAAAAGCTGGTGCTTGGGTTGTACTTGTTGCAAATTTATAACTTTGCCAGAAGGCAGTGGTGTCTCAAATTTATTCTGTAGGAAAGGAGACAGTTTATGTAGGATGTTCCCCTACCCCAGATATAGTCAATGTATAGTGCCTAAATTAATTTTCCATGGGGAGATGTCTCCTAATTGTGTTTAGGTTCACAAGACCATGGATTCTGGACAATTGCATAGACTTCCTGGCATCTTGTTGAGAGCCATCCTTCTTCCCTTCCTATTTTGGATATCATTAAATCACAGTAAATACTGTATTATGGAAAGTAACATTTTTCCTGGGATAAGTTACTCATTTCTAGTGAGAGATATCTCAGATCACAGGTAACACTGGAAAAACTCCTCTAGCTGAAAATGAACAGACCAAGAAATCAAAGGAAGTTACTTTCTCTAAGCTTTAACTTAGAAAATTTGATTTTGGATATTAATGTTTCTGGACTTTGATATGCTGTGTTGAATAATATTAGTGTATATAATTGGGGATGGGACTTGAAATGAAAAGGCAGTAAATTTCTCAGCTTTTTTTCCCCTCTAGTCCAGTTTCTCCACAAAGAACTGCATCTCCCACTCTTGGTCTGTTTTTAGGCGAGGCTGACTTTAACCTCAGCCTCTGAAATGGGCACAGTCCCAGGTCTGACCAATGAAGGTACTTCCTTGTTTTGAAGAAAGGTGATTGGATCAGGGGTAGACATGTGACCCCAGCAAAGCCAATTGTATTGCTCCCCAGGACCTTTGCTAGATATATTCAGAAAGAATATTCCCATTCGTTGGGATTCTAGTTGTGAGGATAATAAAAACCCATTGCTGCTGAGAAATATTTTTGTCATCACTTAGGAGGAGGCTGTTTGAGAAAGAGGCCAGCACAGAGGAACGTACAACCGAGTAACGGAGAGGCTGTGTTTTCTTTTTTTGAGCCAGTCAGTTCCACCATATCAGCATCTTAACCATAGACTAGGAAATTATGTGAGCAAATACATTATCTTTTTTGTTTACATTGAACAAATAAACTCGATGTTGGTACAGAACATATATTGTATACCATCATGAAAAACTAATCCACAAAAATAGTGTTTGATCACTTCTTGATGCTTTTTACACTAGTGCATAGTGAAACGCTGTAGTTTAAGGTTAAGTCATCCTGTGGCTAGCTAGTATATTTAGAGTAACAAACTTCTTGCTTCTGTCCAATTTTGCAGTATCTGTCACTATGACGAAGGGGAAGAAAAAGGTTGGGAGGATGCTATCATCCTCTAAGATTTAAAACTCTTTTGGAAATCATGGTATTCATCCTGCTTTGTTTAATTATCATCCAGAGAGAACTATTACATATTTGATATTACTGCAATACTCTTCATAGTGAAAAACAGTTTAAAACATCCGGATATCTCATTTGCAAACAAAAAAGAAAGAAAAATTTGGCAATTATAAGAGAAATAACTTTAGATTTATCCTGTGTCTTAGTCTATTCAGCTCTGATAACAGAATACCATAAACTGGGTGTCTTGAACCACAGAAATTTATTTTCTCATAGATCTGGAGATGAGAAGTCTCAGATCAAAGTCTATAGGGTTGGTTTCTGGTGAGGGCTCTTTTTTTGGCTTGCAGATAGCTGCCTTCTTGCTTTGTCCTCACAGGGTGAAAAGGAGAAAGAGAGAGCGGGAGAGAGAGACCACAAGAGATCTGGTGTCTCTTCTTGTAAGGACACCAATCTTATCAGACCAGGGTTCAACCATTATGATTTCATTTAATTTTAATTACTTCCTTACTTTAAATACAGCCACATTGGGGGTTAGGCCTTCAACATATTTTGGAAGGACACATGTATTCAGTCTGTAACATCTTGAAAAGTGCTAAAGAAAATTGGGTTTATATAAAGTTGAGGAAGAAAAATAAGACATTTATAGTGATTCTGAAAGGGGACCTTAGGGGAATTTTTTTAATGCTTTGGAGGTTGGAAGTGGTTATTTTCATTATGTTCAATGACACTTAGAAAATATGACTTTCTGTCTCTAGGTGCTCTTGCATTTTCAGACACAAGTTAGAAAATATTGGAGGCTCAAAAATAAAATGAAGAACTGAGAGGGAGATTTTCCCAAGATAACCTGAAAATTTTGAAAGGGAGGAAGAGTAGGATGAAAGAAACTTACAGGCTATATGAGAAAATTTGTGGATTGGGTTAGGTGAAATTTTCAGAGCTTTCAGTAAAGGAGGCAACATGGGCTTTATAACACATTCTCTGTGAGGAAAAGAAAGACAAAGTGAGGGGACTTGTCACTCAGTTCCCTTACACAAACTACCTGGTGAAGCTGCTACTTATCCTGGATTGTCTTATAGTTTTGGGTTTTTCTAGAAGTGGATGCTGAGGCTAGGACTTGTGTGCAGTACTCTCTTTAGGAGGCAGTTTCTAGATGTACAAGCAGGAGAGCCAAAAGTGAGAC